GGAGTGAATAGCGACGTTGACAAGTTTTTAGGTGGCAGCTAATATAATCATCGGTCTATAAATAAAAGATTGTGTTTTAGTTTAATTTACAAATGTAAGTACGTAAACAATATGTCATCTGCCTCGTGTCTAGTGATGCTTTGCTTATGTATTCATCAATTGTTTCTTCATGGAACATCGTTAGATGTTAAACTTCAATTCATATCTCAGCTCATATATTATATGTTCATGTGTGATGTATATTAGAGCATGAACATCAATGGATTATATGGGGTTTTTGGAATCGTGTTGAGGGATGTGGGAGAGAGAGTATAAGGGCATTTTCAATAGTGGAAATTTTTGTGTAATTTTTTAGAAATTTTTGTAGATGTGTTTAGAAAAGAGAAAATAAGAGAAATTAAAATAAAAAATAGAGAAAAAAACACAAAAACAAAAGCTGAATTTAAAAAAAAAAAAAAACAACCAAGGTTGTGGCGCCCAGTAGTGTACGCGCGAGGCTGGGCCTGGGCGCAAGTTGGCCTTCACGCTAGCCAGCTGCAATTCTTTATTTCATAAGATGAGCCCCACCAACGGACAAAACCCCCAAAATAACATAAGCAATTCAACCCTTCTCTCACCTAATTCTCCATCATCCACTAAGGCATTTTTTTTTTTCAAATACCGTGAACAATCCCCCTAATGGGGTTGCTCTAAGAGATAGAAGAAAATAACTCATCTACAAAGTTGGGGTTATTTGCAGGAGAGAGAGAAGAAAGGGATTAATCCTCCAGACTCACCACCATTGCATGAGCGTCAAAATGGTGCCTAGCGGGCGCGTGCACTGCACGTGCCTGACAACCTTAATTTTTTTAAAACAGTTTTATTTTATTTTATTTTATTTTTTCATCTTTTTTTTTCTCTTTGCTCCCATATTCTCTTTCTTACTCACACTTACAAAAACTTTTCAAAAAAAATAAAAAATAAAAATCCACCATGGTGGATGCTCTTAATGAAATGAAAGTTTCTCGTTATTTATTTCATAACTATTGTTACATGATCACTTTCTTCTATGACGTACTAAAACTAAATATAATTGTCCTTAAAAGAGTGATCGAGTGGATAAAGTATGATTTACCTCGGGCTATTACACATTAATTAGTTCGTACGGCGGGTTGTTGTTGTTGTTGTCCTCGTCATAAAAAAAAAACTAAATATAATTGATTTTTTACTAGTTATATCTCTAAAATATTATTTCATATTAAAATCGTAGCACACATCGACAAATGACTAATCCCACTTCGCATCCTTAGTACTTCGTATTTAATAAGTATAAACTCTTTAGCCTAATTACTACTATAATGTAACTTTTTATAACATTTTTTAAAAATTATGCAGAGATTTAAAGTTGTAAGAGTCTAAGATCACGTAATCTATATTGAAATACATATGTATGTATTAAAACAAAAATGATTTATTATTAAAAAAAAATATTCTAGATATATTAAAAAAAATATAGTAGACTTTCAATGAAAAATAAATTAAATAAAATGTTAAACTGTCAATAGTGGATTGTTATGTTCGTTATTAATTATGTTGTAGATCATGAGAAGTATTAAGGCTGTCAAGAAACCAGTAAGTATGTGCCTCAAGTCGTTTGCCATACTTTCTATTGTCTCTCCCTTGGCTTTTAATTTACTGATCACATTTTCTTCTTATTATTTTTTCTTCTTATCTCTCCCTTGGCTTTTAATTTACTGATCACATTTTCTTCTTATTATTTTTTCTTCTTATCTCTACTTCATGTGTCTTTAATTTCCTTATATTTAAAGTTGTTAATAAGCTTAATGTAATTTGTCAGCAAGTTTAGATGTGGTCACGTGCAATGTATGAGCGCCTACTGGACGCATACTCTTCTTCTTTTTATCTCATTTTATTTGCTCTCTTTATGTATTTTAAGTTGGTTGGTTTAATGTCTTATGTCCACCACTTTTAATATGCCCAACAAGCACATGTAAATAAGTTACATTAGCAATATGAGTATATTGTATGCATATGCTCAATAAGCGCGTGCAATGCACGCGCACCTAATGGGCACATGCGTACAATACATTTATATTGTTATTTTTTTTTTTTTTGGTTTAGTTTTTAATTTACAAATATGTGAATACTTTAATGTATCCTTACCTTTGCACACAAGTAGATGTGTCAAACAAACGTGTTAGTCCGAAGTTTAGTCGATACCTGACTCATTTGTCTTGGTTCAGCCTAGTCCATTTTCTACAATTGGCGTACTATTAATACTATGGAAATAGATGTATTTTAATTTTTGATCTATGGATTGGATCAATTTATTACGGTCCGACATGTTGACCCCTACATTTAAAAAAAAATAATATACATACATACATATACTCATCTATTAACCAAACAAACCCAACTTTTGTACTATAATCATAGATAAACATGTATTTTCTAGCACTTATTTCGGGTTCACATTGCATGTGTGTTAACCCATATTATAAAATACCACCCCCACTGAAACTCAAACTTATGACCTCCCATATATGAAAACCATTTCATGTCAAAAGACGACAAGGTCATTCGCAATTGGTAAGGAAATTAATACATCCATTGTATTTGAACTATGGGTACAAATGAGTGTGTGGTCAAATTATGGGGTACATATCGAAATACATTAAACATTGGGTGGCGAAATGCAAATAAAAGTATAATAATCCGAAAAAGATAGCCGTGAGCCCGTGGAGAAGAGCGGAACGAAGCGTTGCCTTCTACAGTTCTACTGCTATGCACACTGCAAGTCTGCAGGCGCTTCTATCCTAAAACCCTCCTAAAATGTTGCCTCCACAATCTCTTCATCTCCCGCATCACTAGCGCCACCGCTGCCGCCGCCGCCGCCGCCGCCACATCTTTCGTTGACCTCTAACAGCGAACAAATGAGTTTTACGGTCACTACGCTACTTACTTCTTCTGCTCCTTGCATCCCTCCCTCATTCATTTCCCCAAATTACACTAACAGCAGACTCCGCACCAGGAAATTCATAGTCAAATCCTCTGCAAAACGTAACGAATCGCGAAATTTCTTTCGTGCTGGGATAAAATTTCCCCCTTTTCAAAATCTAGAAGCTTCATCGATTGACATAAAAGGCAGAGATTCACCAAGCACGTCTATTTATAATAATAATAATGACGAAAGTCTGCTCAATTCTATTACGAAGCCCATTGCGTGTGCGCTGTTCTGCATTGCGCTCGGATTTTTCCCGATTACCGGGTTTCGTGTTCCGGCGGCTATTGCTGCCCCTCCGGTGAAAACCTGGCTATTTGGGTCCAGACAGAAGGTTGAGAAAGATGTGAAAGGTCATAAGTACTCGCGCTACACTGAGAGATTGCTAGATGCTGTTCCATCGTTGCTCAGGGGGGTGCAGTTGGTGAAGTCGGGCAGAATGAGCGTAGGCGATCTCGAGAATAGGCTTGATTATGTGATAGACCTGAGGGAGAGGCTGCAACAGGAAATTATGGATAAATTATATGCAAACACTAGGGATTTTAAAGAAGAGAGAGGAATGTTGCTCCAGCAGACGGAGGAGATTCTCAAGTCTGTGTTGAAAGCAAAGATGGAGGAAGAAAGTTTGTTGAGGAATGCTCAAGGGAATGATGTTGCAGTAAAGGGGGAAATTGAAGAGGTTCAAGAAAAAATCAACAGGAATGTGGAGGAGTATAACAGGGCATGGGAGAGAATTTACCAGATTGATGATGAGATTACTCAGAGAGAAGCAGTAGCACTGAACATTGGTGTGAGAGAGCTCTTGTCCATTCAGCAGGAATGTGTCACTTTGGTTGGGAATTGTTTAGAGAGAATTAAGATGCCAAGGAACAAGAGGTAAATGCGCCAGGTTTATAGTTTGTAACTTTGATGTCTGTTATCTATTTTTGGACTTTTAAAATTCTTATACATATTTTTATGAGTTATCTAATTTTGAACTTTTTTCTTAGTGAACTTCATGTATAGTTTCAAAATTTTGTATCATGAGCTAATGTCAGGGAAAGTCTGAGGAAAATAACTATGTGATGCTAAGATCAAAGTATCAAACAGTTGTTTTATCTGATTTTATTTTTCAAATCTACTAGGGACTGGACCGGACTTTTCTCCTTTTCCTTGCTTTAAACTTTGTTTTGTTTCCTAATTTCACGCGTTCAATCCATGGTGGCTTCACCTTTGAAATTCCATTGGGGACGTTATTGTAACACTGGCATGCTTTGTTGCTAATTTATTTGTAATATCAAACACAGATCATAATTCATTCATTAGCCTGATTACAACTCTTGTAAATTGAACTCACAAACTATGAAGTTTGAAACTATCAGATAGGTAATATAAATGTGCTGCAATGCGGTAGATATTTTTCAAGAGAATTTGTTTTCTTCTCTTATTTAAATATAGAAATCATAAATGCATATTATTTTAACACTCGATGCTAGATAGAGTATATTTCTCTAACACATTGCACTGAAATTTGTTTCTTATGAAGTATGCCTGTCAGCTCTCTCACCAAGCTTTCCAGATCTGAGATAAAGGAAACACTCCAAAATTCACAAATACAGTTATTGAAAGAGACAGTTTTACCTAATATTTTGGAAAATGAAGATATTGGATTTGATGAAGAGACAGTTGCTTTTGCTCAACGAATAAAACAAGCTCTTCATGAATCCCATGAGATGCAAAGGAATCTTGAATCTGATATAAGGAAAAAATTGAAAAGATATGGTGATGAAAAAAAGCTTGTTGTAAACACACCTGTAGATGAAGTTGTCAAGGGCTTCCCAGAAATTGAGTTAAAGTGGATGTTTGGAAAGAAAGAAGTTGTTGTTCCAAAAGCAGTTTCCACTCACTTATATCACGGCTGGAAGAAATGGCGCGAGGAGGTTAAAGGAGACCTCAAAAGAAATTTGCTGGAAAATGCTGACTTTGGTCAAAAGTATGTTGCTGAAAGGCAGGTAATCATGCTGTTAAGTTTAAGTATATAACTGGAATGACATGCTATCATACACTTTGAACTCTTTTCAAGATGCCATTTGGTTATCCTGTCTTTTCTTAATATTTGCTCTTAACAAAACTCTTCATTTTTGCTGTTTCTGTGTTCTGGTTGGGTTGGGCTTGTCCCATTGGATTCAATACCCAATGTACTGAAAGCTTTGAAACTGTCTTTGACTGATTTTGCCGTGGTTCACAAGATTGTTTATGATGTTACTTTTCACATTCCTTCCCACATTGCCAGGATTTTCTCCTTCTTTTTGTTGTTTTTATTATTTTTTAGAGGAAATGTTACTTTTAGGCTCCAGGTTAAACTGGTGGTATAGACTCAAGCCCTCAATAGTTGTAGGCCCCAATTTTGGTCCCCAAGTTGCCCGCGAAGTGGCAAAACTCGTCCCTCATTGATGGAATTGCTTATGAACATTAAAAGATGAAGACAAAAGGGTAATTTTACAATCTAAAATATGTGTTACCTCGAATTTCAGCTTCTATCTTTTTTACAACCAGTTCTCCGACAGGTTTCCTTCTAGTTCAGTGAAGTTTCCAGTTACCTTGGTTGAGCCACCTGAACCTCTTCTCCAACAAATTCACAGCCCCAATCCCTTCACTGCTAAGAAGTTAACCTCTTTGAGTATGCTTGCAAAAGAAAGGGTTCAATTAATATAAATGTTTCAAATAATCACCTCAATGAGTCAATTCCTGTTACACTTATCAAGTTCCCAGTGTCATCTTCTGCCTTAAACATTGGTCTACGCAATGGCTCATTGCCACTATGCAACCCATTTTTCCCTTCTCCCCACCTCCTCTATCAGCCTAGCCCCAAATCACCCCACACCATAAAAAGTCCAAGAAGCTCTCTAAAACCACCATTGTTGAAATCATATTTGCCTTTGTACTTACCCTCAACCTTATATTGCTCATTCTCCTCTTCATTTGCCCAATGAGAAAGTGAAGAAAACCAAAACCTAAGACACAGAAGCTATCGACAATCAAGAGGGCTGCTATAGCCGGGGCGACTAGAGAGACCGAATGTCCTTGTCGAGTTTTCTTGAAAATTCTTCATTTGAAAGAAAGAAAAAGAAAACAGAGGAGAGAGAAGGGTTATTACTTGTTTGGTTGTTAGCTCATAATTTTTTGAGTCACCTTGTTTGAGATTGATTTTCCAGATTTTATTTTTCATGCTATATTGCTATTATACATTTGGGTCCTAGAATTAGTGGCTAGACAGGATAAGAAGATATCATTATGGAGGAAGAATGGGGTCGTTGCAGCATATATTTTGAGGGAAGAGAGATGTCAAGTTACAATAATAACAGTATAACACTACCATATTAGAGTTTCAACACATTTTCATCAGCCACTAATGGATCTCTAACATTAAGGATTAAAATCTCCACTTCGCGATCAATTCAGGGACCAAAATTGGAGCTCTTAACTATTCAGAGTTTGAGGCTCTGTATGGCAATGCTTCATTTATTATTATTATTTTTAGAGCTTATAGCTTATTTTAAGTTATAAATAAGCTATCAACTCTGTTTGGCTTGTATATGGAGGTGGCATTAGGTAAAAAGAGTGGCTAGTGTGAAAAATGGGAATAAATCTTATTCATCCATCGCAAGGCAATGGATGAATGAGATCTATTTTTAAATGAAAAAACTGGTGACATTTTGTAAATAGGCAAAAGTTCCGTTGCATCATTTAGTAGTAAAACACGCATCACTATAGGAAAAACCCACATTGTTTTTGAGAAAAATCTGTTAAAATATGTAGAAGCTTCAATGAAAGATGCGGTGATATTTTTGTAAATATGTAGAAGTTGGATTTTAAGCACAACTCTCCACCTATATGTTTTTTGTGATGGACGGATGAGATTCATTCTCATTTTTCAAAAGCAACTATTTTTACGTGATCCAATTATTATTATTATACACACACACACACACCAGGGTGAAATGCACCACACCCTGGTGCATTTCTGAACACGTTGTGGTGCATTCTTGCATACCTGATGGTGAATGACTGCACGTCCGCACGGGAACCAGACCCTATATATATATATATATATATATATATATATATATATATATATCTAAACCCCAATTGTCTAACTTAACAGCTTTCTAATTGTAATTTCTAGTTTTCCAACTAGATATACCAAGCAGAGATTGAGTCTATACAATGGGTTAATCCATGGGCTAAAAGTGTAATTTCCCTTTGTTTGTTTGTTTGATAGTCAAAAAGCTTCAAATTTTAGTTCAATAAATCTACAGCAGTACTGGGTAAACAGGCCAGGGAACATCATTCATCCAATAAATCTGCAAGGTTCTATTTAGGCACAATCCATAGACCACATGCCATTGGGTAGGCAATACAGCTATACATGTTGTGTGGCCATTGTTCCCATTGTGCATTCAGATTTATGAATAGTTCTAATTCCATTAAATTTTCAGTAACTGTTGTGATTTTATTTTATTTTATTTAAAGATGCTTTTTAGGCCTCAATAGATTTCACATTTTTTAGATACTTGTTGTTAGACAGTGAACTCTGGCTCGTAACTATGTATGTGTTTGTATGTCTTTATTAAGGCAATCCCAACCAGAGAATTCTAATTGTCTTCTATATAATTAACAATATAAGAATGAAAATTAAAACATTTATTCCCTTTTTTTCTTAGTTTCATGGCAAACACCGAAAGTCAAATCACAGTGAATACATTATCTATCCATGTTTCAATAAGGAAAGACCGTGTACCATGTAAAACCCTAATGTTTCTATCTCATGTAAATTCAATTGAGATCTGTGTTTCCTAACCTGTAACAAGTCCAAAAAGATTTTGTAAACAAATCATTGCTTATATCCAGAGCCATTGTGGTTGATTCTTCCACATTGTTGGTGATAGTGGGCATGCATGCAAACAAGAGCTTCTTAGTGCTTGCTAAATCCACCATGACTGGTCAAATGTATCACATTTTCAGCATGTGTTGTCACTGATTTCTGATAGATATTGCAGCAAAATATCCTTTAACAAAACAGATGAGATGTCAAATTCAATAACCACTTTGTGTTACTTCAATTTGCTGGAATTTTCTTCATTTGGCACTATGAAATGTAGTAAATCAGACAATTCCATGATTTATATTTGAGATTATACGTTATACCTGAGTAGAGATTTTTTTTATTTTTTATTTGGTTTATATATGTTTGTGTATGTGACAGCAAACACTTTTTGATAAACTAATCTCTTCTAAAATTGAGATATTGAATGCACACTCTAGGAACGGATTCTTCTAGATCGGGATAGGGTGGTGTCGAAGACATGGTACAATGAAGAAAAAGATAGGTGGGAGATGGATCCAATAGCTGTTCCTTATGCTGTCTCCAGGAAGCTTGTTGAGAGTGCTAGAATCAGGCATGATTGGGCTATCATGTTCATTAATCTGAAGGGGGATGACAAAGAATATTATGTTGATATTAAGGTGTAGTGCTATTTGTCTCAGTTTCTTTCACACTGACCATTGATATTCTTTATTTTTGTTTTTAATTTCATTAAATCTATACCAGGAATTTGATTTGATTTTTGAAGAATTTGGAGGGTTTGACGGCTTGTATTTGAGAATGCTTTCTTCTAAAATTCCAACTGTTGTTCAGTTGATGTGGATTCCTTTCTTAGAGCTGAAGATTCATCAACAGTTTCTCTTGATAGCGAATCTTTGTAATCAATGCTTAGCTGGACTCTGGAATTCTCCTATTGTTTCATATCGAAGGGACTGGTTGTGGACAAAAGTTGGAAATATAACTGAAGATATAATGATGATGATTGTTTTTCCGGTTCTGGACAATGTTATCCCTTATCGGGTATTTACTCATAATGAATAACATCCAACTTGATTTCTCAGAGAATAACTAGAATATAATGCATTTTTTGCATGCCTGAAACAGTTAAGAATGCAACTTGGTATGGCTTGGCCTGAGAGAGCAGAAGACTCTGCATCCTCTTCGTGGTACTTGAAGTGCCAAGCTATTGCAGAAAGAAGGTTTACTGCAAGAAAGACGGATGGATTTTGGTGGTATATTTGGTTTTTAACTAGAGCTGCAATATTTGGGTATGTGTTGTATTATGTGGTTTGGTTCATGACAAGGAAAATTCCAAGAATGATTGGTTTTGGGCCTTTGCGGAGAGATCCAAACTTCAAGAAATTGAGGAGGCTGGTACAATTACATCCTTTATTCTGAAGTTTTTTTATTATTAACTTTTTGCCATATTTGATTTCCAAAGGCTTGGGACTCTTGCCATTTATAGAGGTGTTTTAGTCAGATGAATCAGCATAGCTCCATTAGTGTTTTACATTTATGTGAGGTCTTATATACTATTAAAAGAAAAACTTTTAGATGTAGGAATAATGTGTTGGGAATCATTTCAAGTATACATGCTTGGTTATTTTGGATGGAAGTTTACCCCTCTTTGTGGAGAAGTACTTCTAGAATCATAAGTTAACTAACTTTATAATCTGCAGCTTGAATTCTTTTTTCCCCCAATTTAAGAAGTTATTTTAGTCACACAGAACTACAGAAGCCTGTTGAATTCCTTGGTTCATTGTATGTTCTCTTTTTTCTGGTCATTCTTTATTCTTCTCTGGTAGGTTTGAAAACATATATTTGAAGATCTATCTAGCATTCATTCCTTTGGAAAGCCCTTTGGTCTTGCCATACTATATATACAGCTCTTTTATGAAGGCAACTTGCAGTTTAAAACATGTGTAGAAGTCCATTTTGGACTTCTGACTTTTATCTTTTCATAGCCAAGTTTACAGATACAACCAATCTTAGACACAACAGAGGATCCATTCTCATCTTAGAAAATTGATGATTAGTCTATGAATAATGTTTTGGCTATTGGTCTATTTGTCACTGGATATTAACTTCTGTTTCTACCCTAAAAATAAAAGCAGATTTCTTAATCTAACTTATATTGCTGTTGTTAACTATAAACTATGGCCTTCTTTCTATATCTTTTGCACAGAGCTGCCCAATGTCAATCTTTCCTCTGAATTTCTGAAACTTGTGTTGTTTGAACTTGTCTATTGTTTCTTGTTCTGCAATTGAGCAGATTCCAGATTATATATAACATAATACTTTTTTATGCCAATGCTGAGCCCCACTAATTTAGGATTAAGGTGCAATCAAATATATTATTATTGTTGTTGTTGTTGTTATTTATCTTCCTTTTTTTTTTTTTTTTTTTTTTAATTTTAATGCCATTAAAGAAATATTACATTTTGTGGATAACAATTCTTTTTTATTTTTATTTTCATAAAATCTTGCAGAAAGCTTATTTCAATTACAGAACTGGGAAAATAAAAAGGAAGAAGAGAGCTGGTATTGATCCAATTAGCACTGCTTTTGATCAAATGAAGGTTCTTATTTTTTTTATTTTTTTTTATGTCAACCATTTTTTGAATTGGAATATTGATGGATCAATTCTTTTAAGATTGTTTGTTTCTTTTGACAGAGGATAAAGAATCCACCTATAAGGTTAAAAGACTTTGCTAGTATTGATTCTATGAAAGAAGAAATTTATGAAGTGGTGGCATTCCTACAAAATCCACGTGCCTTTCAAGAAATGGGAGCCCGTGCTCCTCGGGTATGTGTTTGCAATAAGTGCCTTATGGATGCTAATTTTGATAATTTCATCTAGCCTAGTTGAATACTTGAATATGTGCCTTTTTCTCTTCTTCTGGGTCAATCTGGTGGTCCTTTTGGTTTCTTTCATTTCCTTGTCATAAAAGTATAAAACTACTTTATACTGTGCAGGTATAGTTTTATGCAGTTTGCACTCTTGATGGTTAGTTTTTGGAGAAATAACCCCTCCCTCTCCTCTCAGCAAAACCACTCATTCTAGCAGATAGAAACTTTAAAGTCATCCGTAGTGACATTGTTTTATTGTTGGACACGTCCAATTTTAGACTTGTATCTTGCATGCACAGTTGAACCTTGGAGACAATGCAGTTTTTGTATTATGTGTTTTTTTTTTTTTTTTTTTTTTTTTAATCTTTTCTTTTCTTTGGCAGTAAGAATGATTTATTAAAGTAGAGAATGGAGATGGTGCATTTTAGGTGGGACAAGTGTTCTTGGGTGAAATGGGGGAAAAATAGGATAAATCAGAATTAGCTTAGGAGAACTTTCCAATCCATTTTGGAATCTGAAAATCATGTGTCTAGAAGC